CTTGTTCTAGTAGGCTGTTAATGTAAATATTGAATAATGTTGGCGATAGTGGGCACCCTTGTTTAAGTCCAATATTTTGTTGCACCTGTCTAGATTTATATTTGCCCAGTTCATACACTGCCGTACACTCTGCATATAGTGCTTTTAGTAATTTGATGAAGTCTTCCTCAATATTAATTTTTTCTAGCTTCTCCCACAGTCGTGAGTGCGGCACTGAGTCATATGCTTGTTGTAGATCCAGGTATGCCAGGTATAGTTGAGATTTGTCTCTGTTTTTCATTTCTATTGCCTGGGTTAGGGTAAAGATATGGTCACTTGTCCGTCTGTTTGGGCGAAATCCATTTTGCGATTCTGACAAGATTAAGGTTTTTTCACAGTGGTTTTGTAGCCTGCGATTCAGGATTGTATTGAAGAGTTTCAGAATGCTACTCAGTATTGTTATGGGGCGATACGCCCCAATGTCACTTGTTTCCTTTCCCTTTCCCTTGTGAATCAGCTTTACCCGGCTTTCTTTCCAAGTTCTTGGTATTTTTCTGCTTGCCAGAATGTCGTTGAGGCAGCCGCGTAGCATTTCCTTTGCCTCTGTTTTGAATGCTTTCAGGAATTCGTTGGGTATATCATCGAGTCCTGTTGCTTTCTGGTTTTTTAGATCATTTATGCGTCTCTTTAGTTCTAGTTTAGAAATTGGTCCAGTCAGCTTTTCTTCTTCAGGTGTGCTGGTCTTGTCCTTTTTTCTACTGCTGATCTGGGGTGGTGGATCTACTGGATTGGTTTGCATATTTTTAAAATGTTTAGTTATGTGCTGTTCAATTTCTTCTTTGGTATGTAGAGGAATGCTATTTTCAGTAAGTAGTATGAGTGGATCTTCCTGAAGGGTGTCCTTTGGTTCCAGTGTCCTTATGTATGCCCAAAACTTCTGACTGTAATGGTTACGATCCTTATGCAGGTTTTCTTCTTCTTTTTGGAATTTCTGGTCTATCTTTTTTGCGGCCATTTCCTTTACTTTTCTTTTTTGGGCCAGGTATTCCTTCCAAATTACCTCTTTTTCTGTCGACTCATTGGGCGTATGACGGTGCCTTCTGGATAATTCTTTGCGAATGCGAATTTCTGTCTTCAGTTCTCCATCAAACCAAGGTGTGTTTCTGGTCCTTTTTTTTTCACTAGTTTTCCCAATGGTTTCTTGTGCTACTGACAGGCATTTTTCTGCGAATTCCTCGTATGTTAGAGGTTCTGTTAATGTTGACTCGAGTTTATTGGAAAATTCATCCAGGCGCTCTTGCTCTTTCACTCGCCAGTGAGCTTTTGTAGTTTCAGGCCGGTTTACTCGATGGGGTTGATGGCGTCTGAGGCACAGTTTCATTCGGTTGTGGTCACTTCCACAGCTGTTTGTTTTGTCTTCGTCTATGTACAGAGCTGTGATGTTTATATCTTGCCTTACTACCTCTTGATTGTAAAGTATGTAGTCTATAGCAGATTTGTTAGCTCTGCGTGACCATGTGTAGGTGCCTTCACAAGCTGGATGGAGGTTTGCTATTTGTAGGTTGCATTGTTTAATTAATTTTCGGAAGCCAGCAGCATCTTTTTCGTGACCATCCAATTCTACTATGTGGCAGTTGAAATCTCCCATCAGTAGTACCGGTTGGCCTTTGTAGGTTTCTTCAATGTCTTTCTTGAGGCATGCGTAAATGCTGTCATTCCACTTTTGTTCCTCGAGGCCTGTTGCCATGTATATGACACAAATGTACAGGTCACGTGTGTCAATCTTTATTTTTATCCACATGTGTTCCTTGTCCTGGCAGTCCCCATTTACCGTGCTTCTCTTCGGTGTAATAAAACCAATGCCTCCACCCCGTTTTTGTCCTTTACTTCTGTTCTTTCCTTGCCATACTAGCCCCGGGAGCAGAGGTTGTTCGTCGTCCCGCAGGTGAGTTTCCGTTAGAGCGTAGATATCTATTTTTTGTCTGTTCACTTGGTCTTGGAGTTCAGCCCACTTGAGTTTGTTTGTTCCTTGCATGTTTAGTAGGCATATGGTGAGTTCTTTTTTCACTTCACTCTGCTTTGTTCTTCTGTTTCTTCTTTTTCTGGAAAGTGATTGACAATGATCTCTGGAGGACTGAAATTGGGGGGGGGTTGTGCGTATGGTTTTGCCTGCTTGGTTGCTTACCAGTGCCGGTTTCTCTGTCCTAGTTTGCCTAGGGCTGTTGTCATTGCTTTCAGTAGCGTTTGCACTGTCCTTTGATCTGGTCTTGTTGATCGTCTCCAGTGTTGTGGGCGCGTTGGTTGTTTGTCCCATAAAAAAGATTTAATGGCCTCACCTAGTTGGCTGCCAACCTGGTCCGCTGCCTGTTCCGAGTAGTGGATATCATCCAGGTGATCTGCGGTTAGCTGGGCGGCTGCTGACATAAACCGCACACTGGGGCCCAAGGCTGTACACGCCGTTTGAACTGCCGTGTTCCATGTTTGGCATGCTGTAGCAAATTGTTGACCCCTTGCTTTCGGTTCAGGGATGGCACTGACTATGTAGTGGTGTTTGGGTGTCTTTTGGCTCCAGTAAGTCAGTTGTTGCTTCAGGTGGTCAGTGGTCTTTTTAATGTCTGCTTTATTTAAAAGATCAGTAGTACCTACATGTATTATTAGTTGCAGCTCTGTGTTGGTGGCATTTGCCTTCTGAATTTCTCCTTCAGCTCGGTGAAGTGTTTCTTCAAGATTGGCACCAGATTTTGTAGTGATGCGTAGTCTTTGATCATGTATAGCTTTACGGAGGTGCTTTTTCAATCGATGGGCATTGGAGTCGCCTAGGACTACAGTGCGTTTGCTTTGTGGTGGATGGTCATTTGACTGCATTTGAGGATAGGGATGTTTCTGTTTATGGTCAGCGCTGAGCTGCTGCTGTTTCTGGCTGGTGTTCTCTGTTTTCAAGGGTCGGCCTTTTTTGCCCACCTGTGTCCCAGGATTGCCTTCCTCTGCTAGCTCAACTGTGTGCTCAATGTCTTCACTTATCCTGCTTGTGCCCTGTGATGGAATGTCTTCCTTCCACTGGCTGCGAAATTGCTTGTCTGAGGGGTGTTTTGGCTCTGGTGTCCCGGAGTCGTGTCGAGGAGTTGAGGTAGCCTGGTCTCCGTTTTCTTGGGCGTCCTGAGTACTGTTTGTCTGTTCGAGTTTTTTTATTTGGGTTTGGAGGGTACCAATCTCTTCCTCGAGTTTTTCACGCAAGTTGCGCTCTGTGCTCAGCAAAGTGTGTAGGTTTTGCCTATCTATTTTAGCTTCCGCTTGAGCAGCTTCCCACTCGGCCTTTATTTGGCTAATTTGTTGTGAGTGTTCGGCACGCAGTTTTATTCTTGAAGTGCGATTGAAGCCTGCATTGCTGCGAGTCTCGTGCAGAGGTTGCACGTGTATCTGCCTGCCTGGGCTTCTTGTGTGCTGGAGAACGGGGTGTCATCAATGTTTGCCCATTCTTGGCAGGTCTCACATTCTACCATTACTGTTCCGTCCGACGAGTCCTCCTCTACACGGGCACTGGTTCCTTTTGTTGGGGCACCTCGGCGAGTCCGGGTCATGTTGCTATAATTTCTCATAAAATGGTAGTGTTATTTTGTGTAGGTGTGATGTTCGATTTGTGTTGTTGTTCTGCCTCTATTTGCTATATGTTACCGATAGGCTATTCTTAAGGCTGGGCACCAGTTTCTATTTGAAATTGCCGCCTGGGAGAGTTCCGAATTTAGTTATGTTTGCCGGGACATAGGTGGCACCCTTTGAACTGGTTCAGCCGGTGCAGCCAAAACGAAGAGACCAACAGTATCAATTTTTTATGAAAGGGTGGGCGAACGCGTGGCCTGCGCTCTCCTGCGGCTGCCTACAACACCATCAGCTTACAGACAAAGAAAGCGCGCCCGCTTTTGGCGGCGTCGCCCGTTTCGAGAGAGCCGGAGCACACTTTAACAGCGCTTGTCCAACGGTCATCACTTGTTTCGTTTGCTAGTAATGACGCGAAAAGCATACTCCCTCTCTTTATCTACCGGTTGATGGTGCTGTAGGCAGCCGTGACAGAGCGCAGGCCACGCCCCTGCGTGTTCCCTTTTATAAAAATTTACACTGCACAGTTGACGCGTGATCTGGTATTGCTACAACGGTAAAACGTATTCGGACAATGCAATTGAGCGTCTGTATTCACAGTTGAAAATGAACAAATCGCCCTCTTTTTTTTAAAGGAAAGGGTAAACTTAAGGGCTCGTTTTTTTGTTGGACACAACAATAATGAAAACTAACAGACAATAATACCATCGAAAGTAGAGGGGACGTGTCACTTTAGTTTTACATGTCTATAACTCAGCTGTATGAGATTTAGTGGGCAAGGTATACACACAATATGATTGGCGACTGTCGTTCGGTGCCCAATCGAACAGCTGTAAAAAATCGAAACCGAAACTAAAAATTATTGGGGCAACGTTTCTTACTTTTCATTGAATAACAAACGTTTTGTATTTGAGCGTTTAGACTATTTGTACTTTTGGCTAATAGTAATAAACAATCAAGTTATTTCTTGCGCGAAGATTTTTCCACAAATGATAGGGTCTCGTCTAGTCGGGTGCGTGAGCAGAGGAGAGCAATACAGAGAAAAAGAATATTACTCGTGTGTATCTGAGCATATCCCCCATAGTGGGTATGTGCCAGTGCGAAGGGGCAACAACAACAACAACAACATCTGAGCATAAGTTTCTAGTAATAGATCTACGCAAAATTTAACGTTCTTTAACTGTTGAGAGTGTGCACGTTTTACACGCTACTTTTTTTGTGTTTTCGCCGGTCTGTCCACGCTGCCACGCATGGCAACATAGGATCAATAAAGCGAGTTTTGCAGAAACTTTTGATGTTAACTGTAGTAGCGTCGCGGTTATTAGTGACTAGTAATATTTCCTGTGGCCGAGGATCTTTTTAAAGAAGCCCCGAATATATTTGTCCTTCTGCGTCAAGTGACGCTACGCTCAAGGAGAAAAATGACAAATACATCAGAACAATGATTCAAACGTAGGAAACAAAAATGGCGTTGGCAGCGACCTTGGCATCACCCTCGCCATAAATTGTGGTTTTTGAAGCCAGCAAGCAGCAGAAGCAGCACGGAGCTGCAGGCTGTAGCTTTGTAGGTGTTATGCGGTTGTAGCATATGATTCCGGCCGGAGTGATCCATGCACTTGCTTTCGATTTTGGTGGCATTTGTACGCAAAGACGGTACCGTGAGTGTTTCTCGACGAAAAACATATTTCCGGTCTCGGGCCTTCCGCAGTGTGGCCCGACCTGCCACACAAACCACGCGGTTCGCTAGGCCCTCCGCGAGAATGGGAAGACCCGAAAGCATTGTTCTGTGCTGATAGGCTAGCATCCAGTATTAGGCTTAAGATCGGTCCAAGAAAAAAACTGTCTCGATATTCTTGCTCCGCCAGCGGTGCGAATGTGGCCAGTCCGTGTCGGGGAAACTGCCTCGGGTGCCGTATCGGCGTGCTACGCAATTCGGCGGCCGCCTTTCGCAAACGCCGAGGAGCAGCACCGCCACTGAGTTCCGCTCCGAGTCCTTCCCCACTGCCCCCACCCCATCACCTCCCGCGGAAGTGAGCGGTCGCGTCTCGGAGGCCCGTACGCGACTTCGTGCGACTGGCGATGCCGTCCGCGCGCCGAGGACAGTTTGTGTAAACGAGCCGCGGGCCCGGTGGCCCGTTTGTTCTGAGTTACATATGCGCGCTAGCGTAAGATGATCACCCTTTGGAGCTGACACAACCGCCGAGCGACACTGTTGCCACAGCGCCGGGAGACCCTCGGCGGTTCCTTTCGTTGAGGTGAGTCTTTTCGGATGTTTGCGCGCGCTGAGCCTTCGGTTTCACACAGTCCGTGCATCATGACTGGGTTTTTGTTGCCACATTCTTTACATTGTAACGAGCAAACATAGAGTGGGAACGGACATGTTATCCGCGCATTACGCGGCGCCGAGCCAGTTCAGCGTAGGTTTCGGTGCGAGGCCCCGAACCTGAGGGTTTTTGTCCGGAGGAAGCGGTACGAAAGACTTGCAGAGGTACAGATTTATCCGGGCCTCTCTTCCTTTCGTTTGTGTTTTCTTTTTCGATCGTATCGACGAGCAGCGCAAACGGACATGCCGCGCCTCCATCGTCGTCCGTCGTGCGAGAACCGGCGTTGCTCAATCAGCTGTCGCCTGCTGGTCACGGTTTTTTTTTTTTTTGATTTCTTGATCGCGGCTGAAGACTAGTGATTTTGGCTGAACGACATTGCATATCGGCTGCCCAGTAGCGCAGGTAGCGTCATCGTTGCTGTGACTGAAGCGGATTCGTCATTATTTCGTGGCGTTAGCCTTTTTGTTAAGAGTATCTGGACGATCACTGGCTGCCGAGTTTGCGCAGTCGTGAGTGAAGCAAATCGGGTGCCCATTCGTCCCCTAAATGCGATTAAAATCTTAGCAGTGAGATCGTGACTGCTGCGCATGTTGTCTCTTTCTCGACAGCAGTTGCAGCACGCGGCATTTCCCTTCGTGTCATGTAAATTCATGCGTTTGCGTTGCCAGTATGAGTTTCAAGAACCAGTGTGAAGAAGAATTTGGCTGCCGTACGTGTTCTAAGTAACGTTGTTGGTTATATTTTCGTTACGTGTAATTGTGGATACCGTAACGCAATGAATTTGTATACTTTTTACAGTATTGCGCTCTACAAGTGGGTGTTCAGCTAACTTGTGTCCGAAAGGTGTACTCGCACTTCATAGCTCAAGCTTTTTAAACGCGACGAAGTGGTTCACGCAGGATGGGATCGTGCAGGTTGCTTTTGAGCGTAGCCCGTGGTTAAAAGTGTTTCATTAACTTGTCTTCTTGGCTGTCATTGATTGCACTTGGCACGAGCAGTTTAAGCAATGCGCTTAAATGGATACTAACGTAATCTCACGAGACAAATTGCTTTTTCGCAAGTCAGTCAGTTTAGTCGTTCCAGCGCCTCCTCTCATTCATTCTCGCCACGGTTGCCTGGAGGCTATGCCCAGCGCGAGGTCGCGTGTTCGATACCGACCACATTCCACTGAGGTGGAAAAACGCTCGCATACCGTGCATTGCGTGCCTCGTTGAACTGTTCACAATTATTTAGGAGTACCATGCAGCTGCAGACCTGAGCTTTTTCTCTTCAGCTAGTTTTATAATAAGTAGATTGTTTTATTGCACTGAACCACTCGGATTTCCTTTGCGAAAAGTGTGCTCACTCGAAAGGCAACACCTTTTTCTTACCATGCCATTCAGGCACACAGAAGGCAGTGTACTTTATAACGCTTTCTTTTAGTGAGTTCTTGTAGTTAGTGGCTGTCTGTATGTTTCCATAGTTTTTTAATGCCAACATCATTGGTACTGATCCATAAAGGAATGTTTACTTTTGTAAAAAAGTGTTTAGAGATGAAATCGCTTTCAAATCTTCCTGAAAAAATAAAAATCGAAACTGGCAAAAGTACGTGACTTGTCCCATGTTTGACCGTATTTTTCGTACTGATGCGGTTCAAGAAAAAAAATTGTCATGATGTGACCTATGATAGACCACTCCATGGTAAAGTAATGAAGAAAGTCTAATCAAATCATTTTTTGTCTTAAGAAAGAAAATAAATTTTGGAGTAGGCCCTCAGAATGCACCTTCCATTTCTTTGTTGCCACTTCACCACAAAGCACGTGGTCGCCCTTTTGGCTGACACTCGTCCCAGGAAGTGGCAAGGTGTGACATGTATGTAAGCCGCTTGTGAGTCATCGAAAGTCTTGTTGCTTTGATGTCAAGGCCACAAGTATTGAGTTCGCTGTATGGTGTGAGCTTGCTTGGCATGCCCATTTTAAAGTATGGAAGCTGTACAGCAGCTTGCAATATCGTTGGCATATTGCGCTACAGGGCGGTCTGCACTACTACTCTACGTAAGAGAAAGTGTACACAATGTGTTTTGTTTTGGTCTCCGTGTGTTGCGTCTCTCATAATCATATGGTGGTTTTGGGACGTTAAACCCCACAAATCAATCAATCATTGGTCTCCGTGTACTAGTAAAGCAGTCATGCAGACACTGCGGAATCAGGGCGTCGACAAAGCATATATGAATATCTTGGAAGAAATATACAGTGTATGAACTGCCACCTTAGTGCTCCATAAAGAAAGCGACAGAATACCAATCAAGGAGGCTGTAAGACAAGGGGATACAATCTTCCCAATGCTATTTACCGTTTTCAGGACCCGAGATTGGAAAGAGCTAGGGATAAGAGCTAATGGAGAGTATCTTAGTAATCACCTGCAATTTGCTGATGACATTGCCTTGATGAGTAACTCAGGAGATCGATTGAAACTCATGATTACTGCATTACACAAGGAGAGCAGTAAGGTAGGTCTTAAAATCAATCTGCAGAAAATTAAAGTAATGTACAACAACCTCGAAAGGGAACGGCGCTTTGAGATAGATAGCAGTGGACCTTAAGTTGTAAAAGAGTATGTGTACATGTCTCCAAAGCAAGCAAGCTTCTTAGTAGAATAATGCATGATATAACACCTTGATTTTTCGAAGTCTATTCTGATCACAGGGATTGTTGTGACCATTTTTGGGCAGTCCTTCAAAATTTATATTTCTCTTTACTTATATAACCATTCTTTCCCTGAACAAACACCAACATTATCTTTTTAATTCCGATATCGCTGCATTTGTGCCTTACACTGTCTGTCCACCTTTTCAGTGTTAGCATTTGCGTACATTGGGAATGACTTATTGCATAAACATGGAGATTGATGTTTATGTACTCTAGAGAAACACTTATTTCTTTTGGAGTATGAGAAATCAGGCATTATGTCACGCTGGTGCTGTTGTCTAGCTGTAGTCGTAAAAGGACACAATTGTTTGCCACATCTGGCAATGCTTCGCAGAACCCCAAGCCCTTTTCTAGCTACTGTAACCGTAATGCTTCAAATGATGGTGGATCAATAGACCCCTTCAAAGTCCTTGGCCTAACATGAACTCGTGGTGTGTGATGCATAATTGTCTGTCAGGATTGTTGAATACGCTTTACTCGCACAACCCATAAATAATTTCTGCTGCTTTTTGCTTGTAACTAGCAGTTTGCTTTTGTATGCAAGCACCATTTTAATGACCCATAATTGCCCCGCCAGGGTGGTCTAGTGGCTAAGGTACTCGGCTGCTGACCCGCACGTCGCGGGATCAAATCCCGGCTGCGGCGGCTGCATTTCCGATGGAGGCGGAAATGTTGTAGGCCCGTGTACCCAGATTTGGGTGCACGTTAAAGAACCCCAGGTGGTCGAAATTTCCGTAGTCCTCCACTACGGTGTCTCGCATAATCATATAGTGGTTTTGGGCTGTTAAACCCCACAAATCAATCAATAATGACCCATAATTGCAATATATAATCATTATTTTGTGTTGTATTCAGGGAGATGTAAAAATTGAGTTAGCAGTTCAAGTGCACCGATAAAAAAACACACACTGGTATAGACTATAGCAGCTTCCATGATTGTGTACACTGATAATCTTAAAGTGGATCCAGTTTTTGACTGGAATTATTCATCAGTGACTGGAATATGTTGTTTACCCAACTTGTGCATGTACATCTCTGATATGTTGGATCCTTTCTGTTCACCCGCGTTGAATCAAGTAATCTAAATGCAGCAGTGTAACTGTATGCGCGATTGCTCGAGGAGATATACATAGGCTTAAGTATAAGGTTTTACTCTATAGATTAGCTTTAGAAATTGTTTTCTTATTGGTGTGCGTGTTTCGGCCACATCTCAAACCGATGCGGCTTGTGATTGCACATGGATAGACTGACGTGAATAGCATATTAGAACTTGCTGTTGGGCAGTTGGTAACTAGTCGTATCGAAGAAACGCGGCGCAACTTGGCATTTCCTCATTCACACACGCATACCGGATTGTTTTACTTTAGTTTCTTAGATGCGTTCTTGTGTATATGTGCATGTTTGAATGTCTGCATGTGTGAGGTTTCTCCAAGTTTCTTCAATAAGGCTGGAGGTCTGGTGATCTAAATTAGAGAAAAAAAATTGTTCCTTAGTATTGTTATGCTATACTGTTATGCTAAGATTTGGGTGCACGTTAAAGAACCCCAGGTGGTCGAAATTTCCGGAGCCCTCCACTACGGCGTCTCTCATAATCATATGATGGTTTTGGGACGTTAAACCTCACGTATCAGTCAGTATTGTTATGCTACTTACTGTGCAGGGTGGCTCTCTCCATGTTGGTCTAGGATGACCATGACTGCACGCATCAAACAGGTTGTAAGTAAGAACAAGAAGCGGTACCAAGATGAGGACTTTGACTTGGACTTATCCTGTATCCTTTGATGTCTTTTTGTAGTTTTATATTTTCATACTTGGATTTACTTCTGTTTCATAGCACCTTTCATTTAGATTTACTGTATATGATGTAACAATCTGTTGAAACAACACGGTTGATATCAAATAAAATCATGAATATATGCTCCCTGAATTTCTCTTGGCTTGCGGGCTGACCTTGTCTACCGGGTGCTGTGGCTGGGTGCCCAATGCATTCTATTGCAGGATATTTCTCATTTTTTGCCATAGTGCCGACAGCAAGCGACTGGATAGAACTGTAACTCTTCGGTGTGGCTCCGCGTGGCAAAGATATGTTGGACCATCAACTTGACAACGCCTACCCTGTGGGAGTGACGTCACCTCTGTACAGTCTACAAAAGACGCAACCTTTCTGCGATCTCTTCAGCGGGCATGGCGACTGCCTGATGGACAGCATGCCTAAATTACCATTGCTTTTTGCGCATATTCTGCCGTGGTTTTTTGCCGTTATGCCGACAGCAAATTGGACCCCGCCGCGGTGGTCTAGTGGCTAAGGTACTCCGCTGCTGACCCGCAGGGAGCGGGATCAAACCCCGGCTGCGGCGGCTGCATTTCTGATGGAGGCAGAAATGTTGTAGGCCCATGTGCTAAGATTTGGGTGCACGTTAAAGAACCCCAGGTGGTCGAAATTTCCGGAGCCCTCCACTACGGCATCTCTCATAATCATATGGTGGTTTTGGGATGTTAAACCCCACATATATATCATAACCGTGTAAATATTAAAAAAAAATTATGCTGGCACCTTGCCGCAAAATGCTTTTCACAGTTCTTACCTTTGGAAGCTGCAAAGAAAAAAAAAAGTAGTTAGTTTATTTGGCTTAAAATTTCTTTAGAAAATTCATGTTTGCATCAGTATATGTAACATAGTCTTCTTAATTTGATTAGAAGATAAAAATTCCTTTACTAAGGACTTGACCGTGCATGATGGTGCTGTCACTTGGTCATAATTTGGCTACTTGAGCACATGTATTTGAAGAGATTGATGGTAATCTTATTCTCTAGCGAGATCAGATTCCCCTAATCACTGAAAAAGTAAAGATCTTTTGGAAGCAACTTTAGCAGTGATGTCGTATGCAAGTTTCATGTAGCAAGTTTAATGGGCCAGCACGATTACTTCATATGCCTACTTGAGCAGCTGTCATGATCAGAGTTGGCTTTGCATTGGATACTAGTTCAGTGAAGTAGTGACTGGATTCTTTTGTTGCGTTTATTCGTATTGATACAGGTAGGCTTTACTACAGCTATAGTTATATAAATTTCCTAGGGAAGGCAGTTTCTGGAAGGGTACATGTTATGAATAGATTACTTCTAGGGTTGATTTTGCCTTGTGACACTGCATCTGCTGTAGTTTGTTGTAAGAAAGAGGTTTGGGAATGTTATTGTGCACAGATCTTGGAACCTGTAGCTCTTACATAAAAGGCCAATCATTAGGAATCTGACTAACATCTGTGTACATGGTTTGTGCTTTATTTGATGGTGAATTCCAAAGGCGGATTAGGAGTGGCCAATGGATACTGTGCTGGAACACTCCACTTTTGGGGAGGGCAACTGAAGGAATCCATCAAATGAAACACAGCCACTCCCGTCATAGCAAATGACAGGGGGCGCTAGCACACACCTACTGTTGGAAGTGCCCAGCATTCCTCGCATTTTATGTTGTTTTCATCCTGCAGGGCGTGCAGCAGAAGGGGGCGCTCGGGCAGTACGTTGAGTTGGTTTCCTAGTACACCACACTCAGTGCATGCACTGGGCACTTGAAACTTCGTCTAATCTGCTGCTTTTTTTTGTGCAGTACAGAGCTGCTCCGTGCAGTAGATCTGGCAGTAGAGCTGCTCCAAATAGACCTATGAAACGTACAAAGAGCACTCTCAATCTGCCTATGGAAGACTTGCTCCACCTGGATCAGAAAAACTGCTACAAGAAGTGTACTGAATCTGCCGTCGAAATTCCCTCTAAAAGTATGCCCAGTTCTTGTATGTAAACCCTATGAAAATTCTGTGCTCTTCATTGAACTTTTGCTACTGTAGTTATTGCAGTGCTCCCAGTTCAGCTTTATTGTGAATTTATCTATATTTCCTAGCAAATAAGGGTTACTGCTCCCTACAAGTTTATAAAACTAGTAAAATTTCGCTTTGACCTCGTGAACATCTTATGGTAGCGCATCAAATGTGGGTGCAGTACTAGTGATGGTACAGAGGCATTCTAGCGGTCTATTTCAATGAAAATAACTTGTATTAATGTGTACGAGCCACATGTACTCAGCATGGAAAAATGCTCCCTTGGGAGTTTTATCATTGTTGCGATACTCTGAACTGGTAGCAAAGTAAATCCTGCCCTCAAAAGATCTACTCTTGTTTGAGCATAAGTTATTGCCAGAACTAATATGTAGACATTGCCAGTGCCTGCATACAGTCCATGTTTTGATGCCCTCGTGCATCCTAAAACGAAATAGCCCACTAAATGTACTCGCTGTTCATACCTTCTGGGCTGCGATCATCACGCTTCATTGAAGATGCAACAGTTGCACAGTACTTCAGTAGACCATCTTGCCTATAAAGTTTTGCCAGATTGGGAAAGGAGAAATGCCTTGATATTGTTTATTTATTCATACTGTTTAAACCATGGAGAGCATAGTAGCAGATGTTAGTAGGCAGCCTGTGTTTTCTGGCCTTTGTGTTTGCAAATTGTTATTTTATTAATATGGTAAAAGCAGTTTGCATATTTTCTCTAAATTTGCAAATATATTTTACTCTTCTTTTTCAAGTTGTAAAAAAGGAGGAGTTGGGAAGTGTCAATATTATATGAAAAGTGTATATATTCCTTGGTGCAACACTAGGTGTCTGCATTTACAATAATTGGTTTTGAATTTGCAAAATTTTATTTAGAAATAATGCTTATAGTGCAAGAGAAATCAAATGTTTGCAAGTTTTAGCACAGCTCACTTTTCACAGCTGATGTGGATGTGTATGCATCCTTCATACTGTGAAGGTGTTCTCATAAAATCTACTCAGGTCACCAGTTTAGCTTTGTCATAATCATTTTGCCATATTTGCTAGTGTTTGAAATAATGCAAGTATATATATGTATATATATATATATATATATATATATATATATATATATATATACACACACACACACACACACACACACACGAACACCATTCTTCACTCATATCTCGTAATCACTTGACTATATTTCCTAGTGCTTAAAATAATGCAAGTTAAAAAAAATATATATGAATACCATTATGCACCCATATCTATTATACATTTTTAGGTGGCGCCTATTTGTCATTGCCGTAAACTCTATTAAGCAGTAGCTTGTGGAGGCTTTCTGGTGTGCTCAATGATCCATTTTGAGTGCATCTTGGTTTGAGAGGCACATAGAAGCCCTGCACTTAGGTGTTCTTTAAGGTGCTACTCCATATCAGCTTATCTGGCTATCAGAGTGGGCCATTTGGCACAAAAGCTGATAAGGTCACTGTATAGAAGTTGTATTGTTGTCCTTTGTTTATAGGCAAACTGACATTTTCATGCAGAACATGACCTTTCCGGGGGCTGTGGCTTGGTGTCCAGTACATTGAAAACTTCGTTATGTCATTGCATATGTCCTGCAGTTAAAGAGTGCTGGTTATTATCAATGTTGCAATACCAGCCATCATTGCAATTGAGGTTTTTCTGTCCCTTGTTGTGGTCTTCCACAATTGCATGTGGGCTCAGCTCCAGAACCATTTTTATCAAGGGTTTCATTCAGTAAGATTGTGTGCAAGTAGTTTTGTGTACCGAAAGGGCAAGTGCATCCACTGTCCATTTGTGCCATGCACTATAGAGAGGTCATGAGTGCATGCTTGTGCACTTTTTGTTTTGGACCTCATGTATTCATATTTTGTGTATGTGTCAAAGATTTACGTGCACTTCATGTATACTGCAACTGTTGCTTTCCAGGAACAGTTGCAGTAACTGTGTGGAGTGCTGTCACTAACATGTATCCTGTGTTAAATTTTTAAGCGTAAAGAAAAATCTCAAACATGTGGCCCGTGTTACCCTTTCGTTTACCTGCATACTTGCATCCATTTTGACCTTAGTTGACTAGGCCTCATGATGTCGTGCCAGGCATTCCAAAACATGCTTCTGTACTGTTCATAGCAGGTATTGTACTGTACATAAGCTGTGATGTCTCATTTAAAAGGGCCCTTAAAACTTTTTCAAGTAATCATGGAATGTATTCACTGAAATAGTTTATTGCCTCACGAATTCAACGTTGCAAGAAATTTTAAGAATCCTTCCAGTATGAGTGAAGCTACGAAGATTTGTCGCACGCTGCAATAGCATTCTCTCCTTTCTCGTTTCAAAGAAAGCGATGGAAGTTGGACAGGGGGGGGGGGGGGGGGGGGGGGGGGGGGGGGGGGAAGAGGGATGTCGCGCACACCTCTTGACTTTGAGCACTTTTTTTTCTCTTCCAATAGACGGCTTCCTGAGCGTGATCGCGCGCGCACGCAGCGATCCCTGCAATGACCCTGCTCGCTATGTTAAAATCAGCCAATGGCTATTAGAAGGGCTTTTATGAGTGCTTTTTCAGCGTCTTCCGTCATTTGTTCAGATAAGAGAAAGCAAATTTTAGCTGAATTTGATCATTTATTGTGAATTCCAGGCTGCATGCAGCGCTATAGTATTTTATTCGCGTGTTCTACTACCGATCGACAGCGTTTTCTGACCATGCTCTAAAAGTTTTGCAGGGCCCCTTTAAGCTTGAGACACTCAATGTACTAGGCCTTTTGATTCCTCAGACTGCTTTGCTTGAACCCTGAAAGAAGTCAGGTTTAAGAGGACAGTTCTTACTCTTTGAAGATTTAAAGTGCCATTAGAAAACGCAGAACATCCAACATATTGTGTTCTATGGAAATAGTGGCATAAATAGAGATAGGCTTTTGAGCCTGATACAGATCAATTGCATTGTGGGCTTTTGAGTCTGATACTGATCAATTGCATTGTGGGATAACAGCACACTGATATTTCATGCTTGGTATGCTCATGGAGGATGAAACATGAATTAGTGGCAACCTTATTTGTTTGTAAACGATATAATTAATGACAACAGCATGTACTGTATAGTGAGTACAGGTAGTGATGTTTGTCCCTCCGGGCCATAACTGTCACATTTCGATGGAGACAAAATGGTTTTGGCCTGTGTGCTGTGTGATGTCATTGCACGTTAAATAACACACCAGATAGTAAAAATTTCCGGAGCAAAAATTTCCGGGGCCCTCCACTACGATGTTTCTCTTAACCATATCTTGGTTTTGGGATGTAAAACCCCAGATATTACGATTAATAATATTCTTGTTAGCAAGTTCAGGAGAGAGCTAGCTGGCCCCCTTTAAAAGGAAAGGTTGTTAAGTTTTGAATCGACCATTGGGCTTTTCAACTTTCATTTTGTGGACATGGTATCCGTTTCTGTGCTTGATATAAATGCACTCATATTATTTGAGGCTAAACTGTCTGTTTCGTCTTTTTCTTATTGTTTTGACTGCTTGTATCTTATTTTATAAGCAAAGTATCTGTCTCTTCATGCAGCATCTTTTAGTTGAAGGCAGATGTACCTCTGTTCTAAATGAGTAGTGATGTGAAACTTTTTTTTTATATGAACCAACAGTTGTCTTTATAATAATTTTGGTATGAAGCCTCAGTTTTCTAAAGATACAGTGAATGATTTTTTTACATTATACATTAGTATTGCAACCAGTTCAGAACATATCAAACAAAGCCAGGCAGTAGGCTTTTTAAAAAGCAGGGCTTCTCATTGAACCATCATAATCCTCGGTGGTGGTCATGGAGGGCTGTGAACCCAAAGCAGTAGTTGCTGAAGGCTGGGCATGCATCACATATGTCATTACTTCTTGCCTTTGCTGTCGGCTTCACATGCGACATGAGATAAGCCTGATATGCTGGTGACTCTCTGAAATCCTTGAACTTAATTTTACCTTTTCGTGCATTATCGCTTTGTCTTGCATTTTACAAGCTCAATTTATGGCAAAGCGTAACAATGTTAGTATTGCTTAGTAAATATGACCAAGTAGTATACTTTCTGTGTACAGCTTTTAATGAGCAGCACTTATAGGGCAACAAATACAAATGTGAGCATTCCACTGTGATGTCTGGTATGGCTCTGATGCTTCTGCTTTAAGGTGTTTGGTGTCATAAACAAGTATGCTGGAAAATTTTTTATAGTTGGGTTAAGAAGAAAAAATTGTTCATGGTCAAGTCATGTATACAAGCGGGAGAAAATTTGTTACACTGAAATTTATTTTGCATTTGTGACTCTGTAGGTGTACGAATAGAGTGTTTTTTTTTTCAAGTTAGCAGCTCAAACTTGCAAATTGTGTGCCATCTTGGGCCTGGAATCTGTTTTCTTTAAAAAGCAACATGGTGGCTTAGTGGCTGTATTATCTTGCTGTCAAACTAAGCTTACATGTTCCAATTCCTGGCTGCGGTAGCAAATTATATTATGGGCAGAACCTATAAACGCTTGTGTACCATATGTTCGTGTAGTCCTATGCCATGGCATGCCTTATGATCGGTCAAATTCTAGTCTTGCTGCTTAAAACCCTAGATATTGTAAGAATTGTGGCTTTCCATTAACATGATTACTGTAGCACATAGCATTTTACCGACTGTGCAAAAGCTCGTGTCTTTCGGCCTTGACCCTCATTATGCCATAGACATTAGTGACAATATTATCGCCATGGGCTTCCCGGCTGAAAAGTTAGAAGGGGTCTTCCGCAACCACATGGATGATGTGCAAAAGTAAGTGGTGCCTGTTGGTGTCTGCTTGACTGATAATGTGCTTTTTTTCAAAGCCCTTAGAAGTTGTGCTTTGAAGCGGCACAATTCATGTGCGCAAGGCAAATGTGGATTCTTTCTTGACCAATCACGGTTGCATATTTTATTGAATAATGTTAGAAGGAGGCTTTGAGTGTTTAAAACCTTCATGAGTACATACACTGATGTAGAATAGTTATTTACTAGTCTATCCACAATTTCAAGTGTAAGTGTATGTTCTCTGAGCATTGAAAGACATTAACAGCTGTAGCTCGCATATTGTTACATTAATTCAACTTGCTTTCGAATAGCTAGGCTACAAAGAGCACTGTTTCTGAATATTTGTTAGGGCTGAAAATCTGGTATTTGTGTCAGTGGGAGCTCCAAGCGTGCCATCTCTGCTTGTGTAGGCATGATGGTAGTAAATTATATTGCTACCCGCATTTTTTTTTACACTTATGTTTCATTTAGTTTTCAAGCGCGAGACTATCCGAGCGATCGTGCAAGCTGTTACCCTTAGCACAGCTCCTCCCCGCACGATCACTCGGACAGTCTCGTGCACGAAAAGCGAATGAAACAAAAGTGTAAAAAAAACCCGCATGGCAATATTGGCTAGAATGGTCATGCATTTTACAGCTTTTTTGGCTTTACAAATATATGTGCCATTTTCAACAATGTATTCTGCTATAAATGTAAAAATTCCTAAGGATTGTGGGTGCCTTCACATTTTTCAAAAAGTTGACTGGAAATTGACCAGAAGTCGTTTTATTCTGTAAATAATCTGAAGACTATCCAGAGCCACAGTCATGCAGATTAGACAGGTGTGGGCCACCCATCATTCTCACCGCAGCTGCTTATAATGCAGTCAAGGCATTGACTGTATTGTGCATATTTTTTCTCACCCACTTACCTTCTGCTGTTCCATAGGTTTCTTGAAAAGAAGCACAAAGGCCACTACAAAATATACAACCTGTGAGTGTTCTTTCACGAATTTCTTTTTCTCTGGTGCTAAGGAGTTAATGGTGCTTTAGTTCTTCTCTTGTTCGAACAAGTGGCTTTTCATGCTCAAGATGTGTGCATTGGTTTGTCAGGTGTTTTGTTCCATAGCATGTGTGTGGATGGGTGTGAAAGAGGCTGCTTTAGAATATGGTGCTTGGATGCCCCTGAGAGCCTTTGTGCTTGCATCTCACTTTAGATTGAACTAGCAGCAAGTGGCGGTTTCAGGGGGTTTCATCAGTGGCCTTAAGCATCAGAGTACGTGGAGTTCATTGTAGAGAGGATGATTGCTGTGTGAAGTATTAAAGGAAAGATTTTGACATAATGATATTAATAATACACTAATATTAGTTCACAATACAGAACTGTCCAACAGCATTTTTTAAATACTGGCATGGTAGTAGCTAAGGGCCGACCCCACGTATCCGTCGCAGCGCGTTAGCGCGTGTATTTTTGACGTATTGTCGAGACCTCTCCCACGTAGAGAGAGAGTGCGCACGTGGCACAGATTCACGTAGCCACGTGTTAATGCTCTCTATAGGGAGAGGATGCGACATCGTGTCAAAAAGTTTCGTGCTGACGGGCTGCTACGCATACGTGGGGTCGGGCCTTTATGCACCACACGCAAATGCATTTAGTAGGACTTCATCCTGCCTTAACAGCAACATTGCAAAGTACTCGTCAGATTGATCAAGGACATTATTAGGAACTACATGTTGAGCGTTGCAAGCCTTCACATGAGCATAAAGAAAATTGTTGCAAATTTCCCTTAACGGGAATTGTTGAGGTGTACAAAGTCTTCAATGTAGTGAAGCATAGACATATTAATAAAAGTGTAATATTTTATTGTAATGTTACAACAGCGGTTAGCAAAAGTAGTTGGTGCTCATTGTATACGAATAAATATGATAATTGCTATAGTCAGCCTAATTACAGAAACTTTATTTTTTGTGAATTTTAGCTCAGAATTTTTCTTTTTCTATGCTGAACTGAGAACTGACAAAAAAAAAATAAAACTGCTTTCAAAATCCCAGCTTAATTCTTGTAAAATGCTTCACATTACAGTTTACATTGGAGTGGATGTGCCTAAAACAGAATTCATATTATTTTTTTCACTTTTGTTCTGTATTCTATGTTGCATAAGGTGTTGGTTATTTACAGCTGTGGCTGGGTTTATCCATATGGCCGTAGGTTGGAAAAAAAAACCTAAGGCTTTTCACTACTTTTTCAAAGCATTGGTATGAAATTGAATATCTTTCTAGAGTTGATTTATTCCAACACACTAAGCTGGCACTTGGAAGTGAATATTAGTGAATGCGATGGGAGTGGTTTAAAGGGATCGCCAGCTGCCCAGAATGCAGGATTAGATCCTGGTGGAAATGAAAAGACTGACTGTGAATTATAATGACACATTCGAGCGTTCTTTTCATGATTGAGTAAGATATATTTTGAAATGGCGATTGAACGTCACACACGCACACACACAAAAAAAGAAGTGTGCCGTGCAGCTTAGTGGAAGAGCCGTGATTCTACCCTATGGAGCTGCTCTGTCTGCTATATGTAGTCTCATGGTTTTATGTGCATTATAATTAGTGCTAAATATGATATATATCAGTATATGTGTCACATTATTCCCGATCAATTCTGTGCTGCTTATAAAGTAAAAAGGAATTGATGATGAGACATGGGGCTGCCTTCGTGGCAAGTAATGGAACATGTTGAGCAGTGCGGCATGTGTGCAGAGGGAATGCATGCACACCAAACCACTGGCAAGAAATAGGAACTGCCGTCACACTTTCTTCGCGCCGTTTGCAGCGTTGTGTGTACGACTTTGCAGTTGCCGCATGGCTTAAGATTTTAACTATAAATGTTACGCGGCATTTTCCGCATTGCTATTTCATGATCACTCAGAATAAAGAAAACAAGTGACATAAAAATTGATTGTCAGTCTCTTAGTTTAGACATTGTTCACAAGCCTCTCAGGGTTTTAAGCTCCCCCAAGTCCGGTCTTGATGGTTGGCCTATAAATGAAGCTGTGCTAACTTTTAAGAGACTTTGTGGAAACCCCGATAGTTTGAGTTTCCATGTAAAGATTGTTGCCACACTTTATACTTTCAAGACTGCGTTGCAAACGGGCGTGCACGTGGTCCACAAATATAAGATGCACACTGTGAGAAAATCTTGTTTTGATTTTAGTTGCTTTGAATAAGTGCTTGTGAATTAGGCAAAGCTTAAAGTTTTGTGAATGAATGAAGTTGAAATGGTTTGGGTGCAGTTTTAATTTCTTGCAACTGGCTCTTGTAGCTTATAGTACATAAGGTGTTGCATTCCTAAAGCTAGAAGGTGGAGTTTTAATTCCTGGCCATGGGGACCACATTTTGACATGGCGAAATGCAAGAAACACCAGTTTGCTGCGATTTAGGTGCATGTTATTGAATGTCAGGTGGTAAAAAAGATATTAATAATAATCACTTGTCTTTCACTATAGTGTGAAGGATTATCATATCGTGGTTGTGGCATGTAAAACCTCAGCCATTTTTATATCAGTTTTTTTCCTAGATAATTTTTGTCACCTTTTTGGCTATTAAGCTCACTTAGGGAATAAATTATATATTAGAGCAGTGAATGAAGACTGTTCTGAACAAAGACTGTGAATTTTTTTTTTACGTAACCTACTCGTAGTAAAGATAGCAATGAAGCATGTAATGTTTGGGTAAGTTGCTACAGGTAAGGAAGTTTGACTTGCTGCATGTCTAATCACTGCTGTTGTTTTGGAATACTTTACTGAAAACTATTTTGCTGAAAAGCATACATAATTACCATGCTTAACCATGCATAAGTGATGTCTACATACCTGTATGATGTGTTTGAACCAGGTAATTTTACTTGGCACAATGAATGACCTAGCTCCATATCTTGAAATATTCCCAACTTCTGGTGTCGTACAAATAATGCAAAATTAAGTGTATGTAGTCTAAATTTTACATAAAGTACCTATGATTGAGTGAAACTGCAAAAAAAAAAAAGGTTTGATGATTCTTGGGTAGGTGACCAGTCATGTTTATTTCTGTTGTGAGCTTTGAATGTTTGAATACCCACAGCTCACTATTTAGTTTCATAACAGTTTAGTTGCATCCTGGAATTGAAGGGGCACTTTGTAGCCCTAAACCGACCTCATACACTGCAAAGTGCGTACCTTCCCTTCCTGTTTGCGTGCTTATGCATTTCATTTTATGGTTACCAGGCTTTGAAGACTTGTATGTTTGAATGTCGTACAAATATTTCTCTTGAATTGATTGGTATGCATAGCGTGCAATGACGTCACATTGCCCACCATCTCTGGGTACCAGCTGGTTGAGACGCCACGTGCACTTTTACAAAGAAACTGTGACATCATATTAGTGCCGGTGCCCCTTGCGTTTTTTTTTTTTTTGGTGTTTACCCTTGGCGCAGCTGGTGAACAGAAGAACGTGGGGGCAGCACAAGAGGACACGGGGAGGGAACAACTGCATGTCCTTCCTTGCACTAACACTCACTAATGAGATAAAAAGGTGACCGCCATGTCTGGGTACCCAGCGCCAAGAACCTGTCTGTGACGTCACAGGAACACTATGTATGAAGGTGTAGCACAGTTCACACTGACTTTTAAAAGGACTCTAAAGACCAATATTGAGTCAGTGTGCATTTTTAAACTGCCGTTTCTAAAAACTCAAAGCATGTTCCATTAACTTGTTTAACTTTGAAAAAAATGTTGCTTCAGGAGTCCCCACAACTCCTAGTGCAATCCAAATGGCCCAGCCTTCATTGAGATGGGGTGTTGCATATGCCATCACCGCCTATTGCTACCCGACAAGCGGTGCTATGGCTTGTAGTCTAGAACGTATTTAAATGCATGGTTAAAAAGCAAACAGACATCATGTGGACGTGGCACATCATGTGGACGTGGCATTTTGCTATAAAAGTGAGTTTCTCTATCAAGCAAAGTCATCAGTATGCACAAGTGATAAAACGTTTCGACTGCCCATCATATTGTAAGTAATTTAGTGCAATTTAGGATCCCCTAGAAACACACATTCACACTCGCTTCCACTTCCACACCTTTGAAGTATTAACCCTTCGAGGTGTGTTGGGCACTATTGTGTAGTTCATGTTTGTGCCTATTCTGTTGACTAATCAGTAAGAAAGAGCACCGTGCAATAAGTTTAAGATGAATTCAAGCTTCTGCATAATAAATGTCTTTGTTTAACGTAAGTTTACAATGTAATGTTGCATATGATCATTTTGCTAACAGCACTATCACGTTGAACGTGTCGTTCGACATGCCACTTTAGGCTAGTAACATGAAAAATATAGTTTTTCTTTGGTCAAAATGAGCATAACTAGAAACAAAATTGTAATATATTTCTAGTTTTCCATTTTATTCTACAGTCTAACTCCGCTACAACGAACGCCGATTCAACGAAATTTTTGCTACAGCAAAAAATTCACGATTCTCTGTCAGCAGTCCATAGGAGTCAATGCATAAATATTATTGTCACAATGAAAACTTTTTCTTCGATTGTTCCGCTTCAACGAAATTTTACGATGTAATTCCAAGCTCAGATACTTATTGCTATGCAGTAAACCCAATCCAGTGAGACTGCCCTGCTTTTGTTTTGACACTGGCTTGCTTTTGAGCCGCAGGCGATCCGAATTTGAAGCTCAGTAGCTCACTTTATGGTTTCCTTCTCCAGCTGCTGGGTGCAACCGCGACACAATGTCTTTTCCGATTCCAATGCTTATCATTATGTTCGCGCTTGGCCAGTGTGGTAACTAATCGGAGCGGCTGTTCGTTGGCATTATCAACAAAATCAGCTAGCCACGAGTGATGGATGATGAGAATGGCATAGAATAACGCAAAAGTCTCCACTCCATGATACCTTGCCTCCATCTCGGCGTTGTCAGATACTTTTGACATCGGACAGCTGCTGGTGTCA